CTACAATTTCCTTATTTTAAGCATACCTTTACCACAAAGTGATACATAGGATTTTTTCATATTTTCCTACTCCAAAAACCATTCTATTATTAAAGCCAGTTACGTTAGAATAGAAGAAGACGAGGAATCATATATATTCAGGAAGAACACTTGGAGGCAAGGCCAACTATTTCTTCATGACTGAAAATAAAGAGCCATTTAAAAAGCTTGAAAATACAGAGGACCAAAGTTAGTATTTTTTTCTGATCAACTATTCTGTTTGTTAGATTCCGTAACAAATGATACGCAAGGAATTTTGAGCTATAAGAGAATATCAAATGGGTATACACAGGAGCGGTGTGTTGCTGGCCTTTCATTTGTCAGGAACAAACAATGGCTGTGATAAAACCAAAGACTAAAATGCTATCTAAAATTACACTCATTTACAGATGTCATGGTGATAGTGGTTAAGTTAACACAATTCAGAGTCATGCACTCCAAAGCTTTCCAGTTAACCTGCAGCAACACATCATTATATTTGGGTGGGGCTACAGAGGGATCAGTTCTTTACTGATACAGTTTCTAACAATTACAGATGGCCAAAATATTTGTTTCCTCCACAAAGGATATTTGTGGTCTGAGTAAAGAATTTTTTAAGGTACAATTAAATTATTCAACTCAGAATGCCTACTTTATACTACTTGGCATTTGCTTCCTATATCTCTATCAGTCCCATATAAACTCAAGCCAGACAAAATCCCAGCATAGACATGGAGAGGTGGTAAGAAACTCCATCTCCACCTGTGGAACTATTGGCAACCAATGATTCAGTCTTATTTAAGGGTGAGACTCAGGTTGACCAGGCTCCAGGGACAAACCCACACTGAAGAGTATTTGGAGCCACAAACCTGACTCTACAAGCCTTAATATAATGTTATATATATATATATATATATTAGAATACATTAATTGTGGGGGTAGAAAGGGAAGTGCAGATATGGGAAGGGATCTAAATATGATCAAAATATATTGTATGAAATTCACAAAAATTCAATAAAAATTTTTAAAAAGCAGCATTCTGGGTTCTTCTCTCATTGTCCTACCTGCAATGTTGATTGAGGATATGAACGTAGCAAGAGCAGCAAGACTCTGAGGAAATGTGGAAGGATACAGATGTCCTCCCATCAAGGCCAACCCACCAACTGCAGTCAAGCCTAGAAAGCAAACATCAGCATAGTGAGTAAGTACAGTGACATCACAAAATCAAATATTATGGCTGAAAGATTCGTCTTATCAAGATTCAGAAAGGGGAAAGTTCTCAAAATCAAAAACAAGACAGCTTTCTGACATATTTATTAACGTGATGAGAGCAAATGTGATGAAAACTGTTGACAGCATGTCTTCACACCTCTCTTACTTGAAATACTATTGTGGGCAGAAGGTTAACAAACCTTTCCTCCTTTTTCATACAATTCTGGCCTTCCTTTAACTTTCCACCTGTGTTCGCATAAAGATATAAGTCAGCAGATATAGAGCACTGCTTGTAGGAAAGTGACTGCAAGTGGATACCTTGCAACCAGACTGGAAAGCCCTAATCATAAGCTATAGATACTTGACCCAGCCGCCACAGCTTTCAGTTTTCCTAAACAGTGCTTCTTAAAACTGGATTCCTAAGGAAATCCTAGTGGCTATGCCTAAGACATTATAAGAGAGAACCATGCACTCAGTTGGCTGTCCAGTATGGGTGTTGTTCCTTCACATCTGAGCTACTGCTGAGGACCAAAGAGGTGAGTTCCTTGTAGCCACCTGGACTACTACATGGACTGTGGAAACTTCGACCAAAGAGAAATGCCTAACACTACTCCCTGGCAAGTTGGTTACTTGTCCCTAAACTTCATGGTCAATTAATGCCATGTTTGGACTACTGTAGCCTGCTTGCTGAATGTCTAGTTGATTCTAAGAAGAGACCATAGACTATGTTGTAATTAGTTCTGTGAAACACTCACTGGTTTTTTAAAATTTCATCAGTGGAATCCTTTCCTTAAAGGAAATCAAAATTAAAAGAAGTATTAATAGATCTACACTGCTGGAAATGGGAACAAAGAATGACAAACTCCCGTGGCATCTACTTCAACAAGCTCACCAAGCTTTGGGAACTCCCAAGTCAACAGAGTCACAATAACCACTTAAGACACAAAGAACACAGTCTTTGTAAACCTCAGCACTCCTGGACATTAGGAGTTAAAAATCTTTCACAATAATTTCTAAACAATTCCTTAACTTTATAATTTCTCTAAATCAAATTTGTACATGATGGGGCTAGGGAGATGACTCTGTGGTTAAGAGTCACTGGCTGCTCTTCCAGAGGATCCTATTTCAGTTCCTAGCACCTATACGGCAGCTGACAAACATCCAGAAGTCCAGTTCCAGGGAATCCAGTGCCTCTTCTGGCCTCTGTGGGCACTGCACACACATGGTACACTTACATCCATGCAGGCAAAACTCATAACATAAAATAAAAATAAAATAAATCAAAATTTGTACATGTTACTTTTCTAAATGTTGTATTTATAAAAATAGAAGATAAATTATGAGTACATTAAAGAAAGCAATATTATAATTGACAGCATCAAGTACTTACTCTTGTATACAGTATATAGCACATTTAGAAAGATAGAATAAAGGTTGGAATTGGGGGGCATTCCTAGAGATAAGAAGCCTATGACAATCTAAGATGAGGCAAATAAGTGAACAAACCTGAGATTGCATTAGTCACAGACATCAGTGGTGAGTGGAGAGCAGGGGTCACTCCCCAGACAGTGTGGTACCCAATGATGCCAGACAGGCCAAAAGTGGTCACCATCTGAGAAAAGGCTAGATTTGGAGCCACAATGCCCAAACCCATTATCCCAGTAAGACCTAGAGAAAGAGACACAGTATGAGATGACAGCCAATGATCTCAATAAATTTAAATGCATGCACATGCACACACATGTGTGTTCTCTCTCGTTCTCTCTCTCCCTCTCCCTCCCCTCCCCCTCCCCTTCCCCTCCCCCTCCTGTGGAATAATCAGTGTCTTAAAGTCTGTTCACATATCAATAAGTAGCAGATATTTTAGGATACTGACAATTGATATGCAAGAAAGATATTATGGACAAAAATATAACTTTTTCAATTAATATCTTTATTGAATTTTTATGGATTTCATACATTTTAATCATATTTGTACCTCCCCTATCTGCATCCCCCCATAGCCTACCCACAGAATTTCATGCATTCTGCCTTAAATGCTAAAACCTATCAAGTCAAATTTGTGTACCCAGCTGTCTCTCAATGTAAGTTCATCCACTGGAATGTGTTCAGACCATCCAGGGTCACTCCTTTAAAGATCAACTCTCCCTCAACCAGCAGTAATCAGCTACCAATAATTCCTCAGCTAAGGCTGGGGCCTCCTGCCCATTTCACCAGTTCTAGTCTGGGTTTTATCTGACTGAGTTTGCATGGAGCTTGAGCATACTGTCACCATTGCTGTAAGTTCATCTGAGCAGGCTCCCAGGAACCTATAAGAACCTGTTTCTTTATGGTCATGCACCACCCCTGGATCTTACAATCTTTCTGCCTTGACACTGACAACAGAGATGCAAGGAAGATATTATGGACAAAATCTAACTTTTTGACCACTCCCCAAATAAAATGTAAAGATCTAGGAGTATTTGTGAATCACCTTAATAACAATTTGCACATTTTCCCATGCCTAATTTTTCCCTTGTCCCTGTCTTCACATTTACTGACAATGCTACATGTGTTTATATAAGCATTTTTATTCCAGAAGGTCTATAGAAGAGCTACAAAGCACTTTCTACTTGGGCAGGACATAACCTTTATAAGACAGGACTTTTATGAGGCCAATTTTATGTCACTCTCAGTTTTGGCCGAGAAAGAGGGTTTTAAAGGAGTAGGAAGGATTTCATTCACTCCAGCCCCTCCCCAAAACATATGGCTTCCACCCACCAGGGATAAAAGTTTTGCAATTGCTCCCAATTCTGGACTGGACTGCTGGCCAGGGCAGTCAGCTCCAGCCTCAACACCAAGTCAACAAACAGAGTTTTACAAAGCAAAGAAAAAAGTACAAATTAAATTAAGAATGTGCAGAATACAAGCAGTCAGCTCTGAACATACATCTTTAATTATCGCCTTCCTTAATAACAAACATGTGGACAGCTGTTCTGCAACAGAAGAAAGGGTTACCTAGTGGTCAGTAAAAACAGAGACACTGGGCTACAGGGAGCTAGAAATGACCTTTCTTGAATAAGGGACCTTGAATTCTCAGCAGTAACTAATAATTACTTTATAAGTGGCATAAGTAAGAGGAGCAGCTACAAAATAAGTTTACTTTAATTCATTCTTAATGTATATTTTCCCACTCATAGCCAATATTTCAAAAGTTCTAAATGCATGGTCTGTTAAACCTCTAGAGGAAGAGTTAGATAAAATGTTATGCTTTCCAGTTAATGCTAAGAGTGGTGACAAAGAGTTGTGGCTAGTTGTGTTTTCTGAAGTCAGAATGCCGAGTTTGAATCCTCATTCTGCTGCCTACTAGATGTTTGATCTTAGGCAAGCTATTTAACCTCTCTGTGCTTCAATGTCCTTCTCCACAAAATGATTAGCCCTCTATGCCTTCATCTTAAAAAGAACATGATAATATTCCCATATTACTGAATCTTTGTAAAGCAAAAATGAGCTAAGACAGGAGAAGCACAAAGAATGCCTGGCACTCACTAAATGCTAGCTTCAATTTTAAATTATCACACTTCACACCTAGGAAGATGTTCATCTAGTAGAAACACCTTGCCTCAAAAAATATAACAGACATTTGTACCCAAATGTCCTTCAGTGTAGTCAGATGAGTCTAGTCAGCCCATGTAGAGATCATATATAAGACATACTCTCCCTCAGAGGTCTAAATTTGATTAAGAACTGTTGTATGAAATTACAAAAGCTCAATAAAAAATATTTATATATGATAAAAAGAGAAAAAAATATATAACAGAAACCTAGAAAAATAAATCATCCCATAAGCCTTGCTACATTCTCTAATGCATCTCAAAGACAAATGGAAATACAGGATCCTACTCAGAAAACTCCATGTATAATACAATAATCTTGCTTCTTTTTTTTTTTTTTTTTTTCCTTAAGCAAAGTGAGTGCAAGTAGGGACACTGGCCCATCTACTTACAAGGTTCCTAAGCAGAAGTTTTCTCAGTCATCTTGCTGAGTCTTGCTCTTTATTCAAGGAGAGTTACACATTTAGCATTGAAACATCTGGACTCAAATGGGAATTTAGAGAATGCTGTACAATAATCTTGCTTCTTTTTTTTTTTTTTTTTTTCCTTAAGCAAAGTGAGTGCAAGTAGGGACACTGGCCCATCTACTTACAAGGTTCCTAAGCAGAAGTTTTCTCAGTCATCTTGCTGAGTCTTGCTCTTTATTCAAGGAGAGTTACACATTTAGCATTGAAACATCTGGACTCAAATGGGAATTTAGAGAATGCTGAGCCTACAAGAATTCTGTGTGCCTGGTGCTCATCCCCTTAATTCTTTATAGTTTGCTTTTGTTTTGTTTTTGCTTTGACACTAACCAGATCTAAACATTTTAAATTCAGTCTATAGGAGTAAAACCAATTTAAAATCAAATACCATATTTCAGAGAATGAATATTTTTCACTATTTTACAATCATTCTTTAGTGTTTTCATAAAGATCAATTTTAAAAACAAGAAATTATGGGGCTGGAGAGATGGCTCAGCAGTTTAGAGCAATGGCTGCTCTTGCAGAGGACCTAGGTTCTATTCCCAATACCCACATGGAGGCTAACAACCATCTGTAACTCCAGTTCCAGGGGAATCCAATGCCCTCTTCTGACCTCTGTGGGCATTGCACAACACAAGTGCACTTACACACATGCAGGCAGGCAATACACTCATACACATAAAAAAAATAAATATTTTTTAAAACAAGAACATATGATAAATTATAAAGAAAGGGACCCAAATTAAATACTAAAGCTTTTTACTAGCTGGGTGTGATGGTGCACCCCCTTTAATCTCAGCACTTGGGAAGTAGAAGCAGGCAGATCTCTATGAGATCAAGGACAGCCTGGTCTACATAGTAACTTAGAATGCTAATCAAGCTCAAGGCTATTCCTTATATAATACTATTTTTCTTCAAGAAAATCATTTGGTCCTTTTGTCTTACCCAATTGTGCAGTTAGCCTAATATTTCACAAGGCACAAAATCTCTGAAATGCATTTGTATGCATTTAACACCAGCACCATCTGATAGTCACTGCTACTCAATAGATTTGATGTAGGTAATATTAATGACTATATTTAAGATGTTTTCTGTTAAAAAAAAAAAGTACAAATAGCTTGTATAGTGTTTCACAGGTCTTCACTCAAGTATTTAACACAGGGCCTGTGTTACTTGGAGTAATCACCATAGTCTCCAAGGTCACAGAGCTAGGACAAGTAATATGTGGGTAAGTCTATTAGGCTCAGTACTAATAGGATCCAAAAAGTAAGAACAGCATTGTATTTACTATGTATGACAATTAATATACCACACACAAAACTCATCTAGGATAGTCCTGATAAATGTGACCCTCACCTGCTGCATACACAGAAGCGTTTTTCAGCGTCTTGGTGTACAGAGAAACAGGACTCGCTTTTTCACCTTCCTTCCCAGTTTCTTTCTTCTCTTTGACTGGGGCTTCTTGAGGAATATTTTTTGGTGTGGGAGTCGGGAAAATCACTTTTCCATCCTAACAAACATCATAAAATATATTTTTGTGGCCAAATTGGCATCTCAAAATAACTTACAGAAGATAGCTCAGGTGGAGAAAAAAGGATCATTTAAATAAAATGCATATATAATTACATATATATACATAAAATTTATAAAATGAGTATATTTGTGCTAAATGTATGTAATTTGTATGTGCCTGGGGCATTTATAGAAGAATTCAGATAAAACCATGAAAAGTAAATAAGTGGGGAGAGTAATTAACCTTTATTAAACTTCTGTTTCTGGTTTTCAAACACAATATATATTTTCAGTGACTCATATGTACCTAAGTCTTTGAAATGTCTTTAAATCAGTCTCTATTTTTAAACAATTTCCATTAGCACACTAATGCTTTATTATAATGTAGTTCTATTCCCAAATAAGATTCTTCCATGAACAGAAATTCTAAATCAAACTTACATTAAAAACACAGGAGAAAAGAAAACTCTCACCTTCATCACAACAGTTCCTCTAATGACATGAGCCACTGTACCAAAGTCAAAATCATCTTTCACTTCAAAATAAAAATTATCCTTGTCAGGGCTGATGGCCTTCAGGAGTTTGGTGATGTTGTTGGAATAGAGAGTGCTGGCCTGAGTGGCCATCCGGCTGGGAAGGTCTGTATAGCCTATATGAGTAATACCCTAAATGAAAAACCACATTGTCACAAAGGTCAATTACACTATGCTTACTTTCCTTCTAGGATGATTCTCATGCACAGTCCAGGTTCAGTTTAGAAATTATATTTCTCTGTAGATATATACACATACAAACATCAATGCACACCTCAAAGTGAGCTTTAATTATGTCCAATTTAATATAGTTTTTCCAAGATTTCTATGTTTTATTTTTTAAGTTTCAGGCTTCAATTTCTCCAAATACTTGAAGGAATATACATGATCTTACAGAGGACTTGGGGTGCATCTTAGTGGAAAAACAGGCATGAGGCCCTAGGTTTGACCCCTTACACTGCAAAAGAAATTTAAAAAGAAAGAGAAAAGGACTGAAAAGATGGTTCAGTGTTTAAGAGCACTTTCTGCTCTTCCAGAAATTCTGGGTTCAGTTCCTAGCACCTACATGATGGCTAACACATGTCCTAAGTCCAATCCAGGGAACCTGACACCCTCTTCTAGCCTCTGCAGGCAACATATATACAGGAAAAGCATGCATACACATAAAATAAAAATACAATCCTTTTAAAAATAAAAATAAGAGAGGGGCTAGAGAAATGGCTCAGCAGTTAAGAGCACTGGTTGTTCTTGCAGAGGATCTGGGTTCGATTCCCAGCACCCATGTGGAGACTAAACCACCATCTGTAATTCCAGTTCCAGGGCATCTGATTCCCTCTTATGACTTCTGAGGGCAGTGCACCCAACACTAGTGCACTTACATGCATGCATGCAATACACTTATCGAAAGAAAGAAAGAAAGAAAGAAAGAAAGAAAGAAAGAAAGAAAGAAAGAAAGAAAGAAAGAAAGAAAGAAAGAGAGAAAGAGAAAAAGAAAGAAAGAGAAAAAGAAAGAAAGAGAAAAAGAAAGAGAGAGAAGTTGTCAGAAAAAAGTGATGGGCCAGCCTGGTATACATAGTGAGTTTCAGGCCTTAGGGAGGGAGGGAGGGAGGGAGGAAGGAAGGAAGGAAGGAAGGAAGGAAGGAAGGAAGGAAGGAAGGAAGGAAAGGAAGGAAGGCCCTCATGAAGGGGAGTGGACCCAGGAAGAGTTAGGGGAAGTAGTGGAAAGTCAAAATGACCAAAATAGATTTTATGCATGTATGAAATTCTTAAAGGATAAAAAATATATTTTTTAAACTTCAAAAATCACTAGATATCAGATTTATAGGCAGAAGATGCTTTTTTGCTATACCTTATGAACATAAAGTTCTCCTGGCTTTGTGGTTTCAAAGTTTCCACCAGCCTCAGCAGCTAAATCCACAACAACTGAACCTTCCTTCATTGACTCAATCATCTCTTTACTAAATAAAACCGGAGCCTTTTTACCTGTTAAGATCAAAGAAAACAGTACAAATTGTTATGCTTATTTTTCTAATTGCTACAATACTCCCTGGGCATTCTAGAATTTAGTATGTGTAATTTTAACTCTTTACAAGATACTCTGAAAGACTAGACCACAGGTGAGACTGGCCATTCCCTTCAGGAAAGATATCTATGTGGGCTGCAAAGCCAAGGTGCGGGAGGGTGCCACTCAGCTGATGAGGAAGCCTTACTTGGCTTGGCCTGGGGATCTCAGCCGTGCTTTTCCCAGGACCATTAACTAAGCGATCTTAATTGTTTTAAAAGAATACATAAAATAAACCAATATGGAAACTACGTCCACCCAAACTGAACAATTCATAAAGGTCACACATGTAAAGAGTACATTCAGTACTCATTTATGAATTACAAAATAGAGTATTTTCATTCATCTTAACAAATGTCACCAGATTTTCCAACTCATTACTTACCTTAATCTAACACAGGACACTGTCTAGAAGAGACCAGAAAGTACTGTGAAATAAAAGCTGTGGAAGATCCTGGCTCCAAAGGGTTAGGAAGCACTCATGTACTTGTATTTCCAACCATTGATCCTTTGCCTGTAGTCAATCCTATCTATGCCTGGTGCTGGGAATGCAGAAGTAGGTAAACAGCAAAGGTCGCTGTTCTCATAGGATGCATCCTGCTCTTGTGATATTTCACACTTTAAATTCACAGTGTGCTTTTAGGAAGCTCTCTACTTCTTAGAGGATAAATCCCCTAAATCAAAAGGGAATGGAAATAAACTTGTATGATTAGTAGGACGGAAGCACAGCAGTAATAGTCTAATTTTTCTTTTTTTAAATTTTTAATTCTGCATTTATAAGCTTTTAGTAAAAATGCTGTCAATCTTATACATTAAAGTCAATTAAAAGTTAAATTTGTATTAAAATCATTTGGTTTTCAAACCACTTGACTGGAATACATATGATTCCAAAAGGAAAAATGGTATTTATTTGTGGTACATATGAAAATTATAAAGATGAATATGAGTATTTTTGAGTTACCGCAATTTGTTTGCTACAAATTTCATACTTCCAAGAAAAAGTTCAAATCCTTATTACTGAAGGCTTTTCTTCCATTGGTTAAACAGTTCTTTCTAATATGCACTACAATGGCTAACCTTGGTTGTCAACAACACACCTGGGAAGAGGGAACCCCCACCTGAGGAATTTCCTCCCTGTGTTTGGCCTGTGGTGATGTCTATGGGGCATTTTCTTGATTGCTAATTGATGTAGGAGGGCCCAGCCCACTGTAAATGATGCCATCTCTGGGCTGGTGGGCCTGAGCAGTATAAGAAAGATAGGTGAAGCCAGGCATTGTGGGGCATGCTTTTAATCCCAGCACTCAGGAGGCAGAGGCAGGTGGATCTCTGTGAGTTCAAGGCCAGCCTGGTCTACATAGAAAGTTCCAGGTCAGCTGGGGCTACAGGGAGAACCTGTCTCAAGAAGACAAAAAAAAAAAAAAAAAAAGATAGTTGAGCAAGCCAGAGGAGCAAGGCAGTAAGCAGCATTCCTCCATGACCCCTGCCTCTATTCCTGCTTGAGCTCCTGACCTAACTTCCTTAATGATGGATGATAACCTGTAAATTGAAATAAACCCTTTCCTCTCAAGTTGATTTTGGTCATAGTGTTTATCACAGCAATAAAAGCAAACTAGAAAAGCCAGATGGTTTGTTGAATGTTTCTTTCTTCTGAGTCTCCATTAAAAAAAAAAAAAAAAAAAAAAAAGAATCGAGAGTAATTTTTCCCCAAATTCACACCCTGAAGTTCTGGCAGCTTCAAAGGTCCTCAGAATTCCTCGGAACTATTCCTTTCCCCTGTCTATGCACCCAACAAAGGCACCTGGAATACTTTCCTGAACTTTGAGAATGCAAACCATATATATCGAGGACTCTTCCCATAATAAAGGTCATACCCCTCAGCTCTCCACGAATTGCTGGCTATAAATCATGGTAGCTGCAGCCTGTACTTTATAGATATGTACTGTGATCACATCCCACCCTCTTATCCTGAACCACTTCTGATACTGGCCATCCATCCTCTTGTTTGTTATAGCTTTTTCTTCCTCCTCACTTGTATCTTCCAATCTTGGGCTGATAGGCCTAAACCCTTTAAGATGCAGGATGCCCTCTTTGGTTTCTAACTAACACCAACTTTGTGGCCACCAATGTCACAAATTTTATTTGGCATCTAATTAATTTGTCAGGCGTTAGGAATTCTGGATTGTTTTTTTATCTTCAAAGACATCAATATCTAAGAATCAGTCTTTGAACTTGAAAGCTACCATTGTGCAAGACATCATGTGGCCAAAACATTAGCACTCCTTAGAAAATATAAAGTGTACATTTCCTCTAATTTCCCTTATTCGGCCTGTACAAACAAATTTTCAGTGACTGACACAGCCTTAAGAAACACATACACATTTGTTTCTTGATATAATTTAGGTGTTTTTCTTATTGTTCTGAAATTCAATCACTTTTGAAACAATAGCTTTTTTTTTCACACTGAATACTTAGTATAAAGACCAGAGGGTATCAGTAGAATAATTTGAAATCTATCCAGGTGGGCTGGAGAGATGACTCAGCAGTTAAAAGCACTGGCTACTCTTGCAAAGGACCTGGGTTCAGTTCTCAGCACCCACAAAGCAGACAACAATCATTTGTAACTCCAGTTCCAGGGGGCCCAACGCCCTCTTCTGGCCTCTTCAGGCATTGTACAGCATGGGTGCATTTACATACATGCAGGCTTTACACTCATAAACAGAAAATAAAAATAATAAGTAAAATATTTTTTTTAATCTAGCCAGGTATAGTGGCACATGCCTATACTCCAAACAATTATACAGTAGAGGCAACAAAATCAGGATTCTCTTTAAGAATCCTCAGCTTCAGCTACATAGTAAGTTCAAGATCAGCCTGAACTACATGAGATCCTGTCTCAAACCACCTTCTTCCCACCAAAAAAAAGTCTGTTTAGGTTACAAGAAAAAGTCACAGAGGAATATATTAAGACAAGAAATTGAGGGATATAGTTCAGGGTCAGCCAATTGCCTAGTGTACATCAAGTCCTAGGTTTAATTCCCAGCACCACAAAAATAACAGGGTTGGTGAAAAGGGTCATCAGATAAAGGTGCTTGCTGCCAAGCCTGATAATTTGAGTTAAATCCCTGGGGTACACCTGACAGAAGGAGAGAACCGATTCCTGCTGTCCTCAGATCTCCACTTGTGTCCCATGACACACACATCCATACACACACTAAATAAAAATGTAATTTTTAAAAGCACATATGTGTTTAAAATATATAATGTATACATGTTTTATGTACATATATAAAAATCCCATATGCTATATAACTTGCAACAAAACTGGGACATGTAGCATTTACCAATATTGGGGCATATTCAAGTGGTGAGACTGATTTATTTTCATCTCTGTACTTTTGCTTATCTCCAAAATGTTCTAATTTTAAAATGAAGAAATCTCAACAAGGACTACAGGGAATACAATGATGGATAGAACAGGCCAGCTGCCTGAAAGCACTCACATGTGGATCTTTTTTTTTTTTTTTTTCTGGAAACTGCAGAAATGAAAATTGAAAACAGAAGGGAAAAAATGGTGCCAAAAGAGAAGCAGGATAGTAAATAAAGTTCCAAACAGGCAAAACCTCAAAAGAACAGGTCAAGAGGGAGAAAGACTAAGAAAGCAATTTCAAAATAGTATCCTACGCTATGATAAAATATAAGTGCATGTTATCATGATATTACAAAATGATAAAATATGATAAAATGATATGATAAAATATATGTGCATGTTATGATAAAATATGATAAATATGATAAATATGATAAAATATAAGTGCATGTTATCATGATATTACAAAAAGAAAAGAAAAAAGGAATAAAATGTTTAGTTGTGTACTGGGTAAATTTTTTTCTACTCAAACTTAGTATCATGGGGCTGGAGAGATGGCTCAGTGGTTAAGAACGCTGTTCTTGCAGAAGACCCGAGCTCGAATCCCAGCACCCACATGGCAGCCAACAAATGTCCATAACTCCAGTTCCAGGGGATCCGACAGTCTCTTCTGTCCTCCACAGGCACTGCATGACACAGGTTCATTTACCTATATGCAGGCAACACACACATACACATAAAATAAAAATATATAATTTTTTTTTTTGTCTTTTTGAGACAGGGTCTCCCTGTAGCCTCAGCTGTCCTGGAACTCACTATGTAGACCAGGCTGGCCTTGAACTCACAGAGATCCACCTGCCTCTGCCTCCCGAGTGCTGGGACTACAGGCATGCACCACCACACTGGGGTAAAAAAAAAATATTTTTTAAAAATTTAGTATCATACTATTTATTTTTATGTGTATGAATGTCTTGCCTGCACAGATGTAAGTGCAGCATGTACGTGCAATGACTGCAGAAGCCAGAAGAGGGCATTGTATCCCCTGGGACTGGAATTACCTACAGATGTTAACTGCCATGTAAATGCTGGGAAACAAACTCAGGTCCTCTGCAAGAGCAAGGCAGTACTGTTAACCATTCATCTCTCCATCCCCCTAATATCACGCTTTAAACTCCAGTTAGATCATAATTAATTGCAAAATAATCAACCCATAAGAGAAAAAGGGGGAAAAAAAAAACACCTTGGAATCTCTAGTCTGTGAATAATAAAGGACTTTGTAAATTTAAAGCTATGGGGAAAATTACAAAGGAAACAACAGACTTAAATTTGGAACTTATTTCTGGTCTAAGGTATAAGGTATAAGTGAGGGACTATGGAGAATCTGCAGCTAAGAGCACTCACTGCTCTTTCAGAATACCAGAGTTCAGTTCCCAGTACCCATGTTGAGTTTTTCACAACTGCCTGTAACTCCATCTCCTGGGGATCAGACACCCTCTTCTGGCTTCTGCAAGCATCTGTACACACATACATACATACACACACACACACACACAC